CCAGACAGAAAGAGACACACACACACACACACACACAGACCCAGACAGAAAGAGACACACACACACACACACACACAGACCCAGACAGAAAGAGACACACACACACACACACACACAGACCCAGACAGAAAGAGACACACACACACACACACACACACAGACCCAGACAGAAAGAGACACACACACACACACACACACAGACCCAGACAGAAAGAGACACACACACACACACACACACAGACCCAGACAGAAAGAGACACACACACACACACACACACACACAGACCCAGACAGAAAGAGACACACACACACACACACACACAGACCCAGACAGAAAGAGACACACACACACACACACACACAGACCCAGACAGAAAGAGACACACACACACACACACACACAGACCCAGACAGAAAGAGACACACACACACACACACACACAGACCCAGACAGAAAGAGACACACACACACACACACACACAGACCCAGACAGAAAGAGACACACACACACACACACACACAGACCCAGACAGAAAGAGACACACACACACACACACACACAGACCCAGACAGAAAGAGACACACACACACACACACACACAGACCCAGACAGAAAGAGACACACACACACACACACACACAGACCCAGACAGAAAGAGACACACACACACACACACACACAGACCCAGACAGAAAGAGACACACACACACACACACACACAGACCCAGACAGAAAGAGACACACACACACACACACACACAGACCCAGACAGAAAGAGACACACACACACACACACACACAGACCCAGACAGAAAGAGACACACACACACACACACACACAGACCCAGACAGAAAGAGACACACACACACACACACACACACACAGACCCAGACAGAAAGAGACACACACACACACACACACAGACCCAGACAGAAAGAGACACACACACACACACACACACAGACCCAGACAGAAAGAGACACACACACACACACACACACAGACCCAGACAGAAAGAGACACACACACACACACACACACACACAGACCCAGACAGAAAGAGACACACACACACACACACACACAGACCCAGACAGAAAGAGACACACACACACACACACACAGACCCAGACAGAAAGAGACACACACACACACACACACACACAGACCCAGACAGAAAGAGACACACACACACACACACACACACACAGACCCAGACAGAAAGAGACACACACACACAGACCCAGACAGAAAGAGACACACACACACACACACACACAGACCCAGACAGAAAGAGACACACACACACACACACACAGACCCAGACAGAAAGAGACACACACACACACACACACACAGACCCAGACAGAAAGAGACACACACACACACACACACACAGACCCAGACAGAAAGAGACACACACACACACACACACACAGACCCAGACAGAAAGAGACACACACACACACACACACACACACACACAGACCCAGACAGAAAGAGACACACACACACACACACACACACACACAGACCCAGACAGAAAGAGACACACACACACACACACACACACACAGACCCAGACAGAAAGACACACACACACACACACACACACACACACACACACACACAGACCCAGACAGAAAGAGACACACACACACACACACACACACACAGACCCAGACAGAAAGAGACACACACACACACACACACACACACAGACCCAGACAGAAAGAGACACACACACACACACACACACACAGACCCAGACAGAAAGAGACACACACACACACACACACACAGACCCAGACAGAAAGAGACACACACACACACACACACACACAGACCCAGACAGAAAGAGACACACACACACACACACACACAGACCCAGACAGAAAGAGACACACACACACACACACACACAGACCCAGACAGAAAGAGACACACACACACACACACACACACACACAGACCCAGACAGAAAGAGACACACACACACACACACACACACACACACACACAGACCCAGACAGAAAGAGACACACACACACACACACACACAGACCCAGACAGAAAGAGACACACACACACACACACACACAGACCCAGACAGAAAGAGACACACACACACACACACACACAGACCCAGACAGAAAGAGACACACACACACACACACACACAGACCCAGACAGAAAGAGACACACACACACACACACACAGACCCAGACAGAAAGAGACACACACACACACACACACACAGACCCAGACAGAAAGAGACACACACACACACACACACACACACACCCAGACAGAAAGAGACACACACACACACACACACACAGACCCAGACAGAAAGACACACACACACACACACACACAGAGACCCAGACAGAAAGAGACACACACACACACACACACACAGACCCAGACAGAAAGAGACACACACACACACACACACACAGACCCAGACAGAAAGAGACACACACACACACACACACACAGACCCAGACAGAAAGAGACACACACACACACACACACACAGACCCAGACAGAAAGAGACACACACACACACACACACAGACCCAGACAGAAAGAGACACACACACACACACACACAGACCCAGACAGAAAGAGACACACACACACACACACACAGACCCAGACAGAAAGAGACACACACACACACACACACACACAGACCCAGACAGAAAGAGACACACACACACACACACACACACAGACCCAGACAGAAAGAGACACACACACACACACACACACAGACCCAGACAGAAAGAGACACACACACACACACACACACAGACCCAGACAGAAAGAGACACACACACACACACACACAGACCCAGACAGAAAGAGACACACACACACACACACAGACCCAGACAGAAAGAGACACACACACACACACACAGACCCAGACAGAAAGAGACACACACACACACACACAGACCCAGACAGAAAGAGACACACACACACACACACAGACCCAGACAGAAAGAGACACACACACACACACACAGACCCAGACAGAAAGAGACACACACACACACACACAGACCCAGACAGAAAGAGACACACACACACACACACAGACCCAGACAGAAAGAGACACACACACACACACACACAGACCCAGACAGAAAGAGACACACACACACACACACAGACCCAGACAGAAAGAGACACACACACACACACACAGACCCAGACAGAAAGAGACACACACACACACAGACCCAGACAGAAAGAGACACACACACACACAGACCCAGACAGAAAGAGACACACACACACAGACCCAGACAGAAAGAGACACACACACACACAGACCCAGACAGAAAGAGACACACACACACACAGACCCAGACAGAAAGAGACACACACACACACACACACACACACACACACACACACACACACACACACACACACACACACACACACACAGAAAGACACACACACACACACACACACACACACACACACACACACACACACACACACACACACACACACACACACACACACAGAAAGACACACACACACACACAGACCCAGACAGAAAGAGACACACGCACACAGACCCAGACAGAAAGAGACACACGCACACAGATACACAGAGAGAGACACACGCACAGACACACATTGATGAACAGGTAGAGATGGAAAGATGGAAAGCTAACTGTATATACAGCTATGCATATCCCGTTTTAAATATAGCAACACAAAATAAACTCAATCAATACGCCATATCAAATGCACACAGAAAAACACATTTCCACATTTCCAACTGCCTGAATTAACTAGTCATGAATACTCCCAAATGGGCGTGCATGACCGTAAACCTTAAGGACGCTGTTAGCTGCTGCTGCAACCTGGGACTGTGCATTGCAATACACCTTTAACATTTCCCAGTAAACCTTTTTAGCTTTCCCGAATGACTTGCTGGTCATTCGGCCTCAAAAAATGAATTAGTGTTTGATGTCAAGAGTGGTGTACACGTTGACATAAATCAATATGTTTACACACCTGTGATTTTTTCCCTCTTAGTCCTTGGATAGGTTTTGGAATACCTATAATTACCGCCGTGTCCATTCCCCCCAAATGACGTCAGGCTTGTATATATTCCCACTCAATCAAACCTCCGATTCTTGATCTTACCTCCACTACAGCCTTTACGACATCTTTATCCGTAACTTCGGCAAAAACCGCTGACAAGACAAGGGCCCCGATGAGGAGCTTGAGCGAAGAACGACCTCTCCCCATTGTTGCGAGCGGCCGACTGAAGCTGTGCGAGAGAGGGTTAAAAAACGAAGGCTTTCAGGCAATGCAATTATTTGTTATCTTTTTTTTTGTGGAGTGGCATTATCCTCTCTTTAAAGTGGGTGTAAGGCATTAATGTGGCTGTATTTGTTTACTGTTGTTGTTCTCTCTTACTGTCTGAAGTGCATTGGTTTTACAAGTATAACCGAATTGTATATTTTTTCCCCCATTAGGAACTGTCGAAATTGTATCTTATCTATTAAGGGAAAATAGCGTGTTGATTTAAGTGTTTATGGATAGTAAGAAATCACCAAATGTTATAGAGTACGACAAGGTTTGATGGTATGAAGATGGACGCGTAAGTATAATTTTTTAATGTGGTGCTCTGTATTAGGAATAAACATTAAAGATATAAGAAAGATTTCGTAGGCTTTTATTAAATAAATTCTATGATCTTTTACTGAATTTAACTGTAATATTTTTTTCCGATTATCAACAATTTTTTGAAGTACTGAAATATTTCACTTGGAAAATCGCCCTATTATCAATATATATTTTACTATCATTTTCTCTCAACCTACACATTTTCCAGAGCCATATATAAACCAATACAAGACACCAAAAATACATAATCGAATTTATTTATCATCAAATTTGTATTTTTTTTTAAGAAGCCAAGGCAACACGGGAGCTCATTTGACCAGATAAACAAAACATGTCTCTCATATGCGCAAGTAAGTGATGGTCGCTCACAAAGTTTTTTCCACTTATCTCCTCAAATTGGGCCTCTTTGTTCACCATTTATTGCACGAGGAACAGACACGGCTTTGTGCACCTTAGGATATAAGAATTGTGATATATAGAAGAGTAGATTTTGAATAAGGAGAGACCGTGAGAGACGCTGGTGGACGCTTGCCGCTCGAGAGCCACGATGCACAAGTTATATTATTTTCACTTAGAGGTATTTTGGGCCGGATATTCGCCGAGGTGGTTGTTTTTCGAGTATTTTGAGAGCATGGCGTGAAGATCTGTGTGGTGGCGATATAAGAAGGACTTATATTTTTGTATGTAAGGAGTCTTTCTGGGTGTTCAGAAGCGTGTGGGGGAAGAGGTATTTGAATTGCAGTGTTTATTTCTGCTTATTCGAAGTTATTAAGCTTCAGAGTACGGTATTATAGTGTAATGTGTTATCCAGCATTGATCTTATTGTGTTAGACAGTGCTGTTTCCTCTTATGATACTGTCTAATATGATCCTTGGTCTGTATGATCTCTATTGCAGTCAGCCACTTATGTGAAAAATTAGAAGTATGGAAAGCATGTATATTTGCCACTCTCTATCCTTTTGGTTTTAGACAGCTCCACTTCACGTGATATGTGATGGAAGGCCTATGATTGTACCGAGCTTGGAAATCATTTAGTATTAAGTGATCACTGTTAGCTCTCTGGTAAAGGCTGACAAACCATCAATACATATTTTATGGAAAAGAAGAGATTGTATTTGTCACTTGATGAATTAAGAGTCCAAATATACATGGTGGAAATTTATCACCGATAGCGCGAAAGCCAGTCACAGACACATGGATATGGTGCAGAAATCAATGAAAGTCATATTAGTTTCTTTTAAACATTTATTGATTTTACATTTTTAACCAGAAAGTGAATTGCAAGTTTAATTTGTTTCTCTTGAGTTTATGGGTTAATAATACCATAGTTTTTTATCATAATATTTAGATATTGGAATGTCTAATTTCCAAACAATACTGATGGAATATGATTGTTGATTCATAAATTGTTGCCTCATGGGTATTTGACATGCGTGTCATGGACAAACTGGTCATATACCTGGGTGATGTGAGTTACCATCATGCACAATGTGTATGCTTGCTGCCAGGCACACAAGTCAAACACTGTGTTATTTTTATCATAGTACATTTCAGCTTCAATAACTCACAGCTTGTTGGGTGAGCAGCCAATGAAACTGATATTTTGCTAAACCCTTACACTTTTCATTCAGGCTGACTATGTTTATGAATAAAGCCGAGTATATGAAGCTGAATAACGTGTATGGACATGTATTGTGCTGCCCATGCAGGTAGCTCAGCAGCGAGTTAGATATTGTTACTCACACTGCAGAAAATGGGTAAAATTCCCCGAAGGAAATTGTTCAAAAGAAATGTTTCTGGTTGTCAGTCTGCTCTACACTTGTCATTGATGTGAATTACAATCAAGGCTGGTGGTCAGACATCAGTTAAATGATCAAATAAGTAAGTAGTAGTCAAGAGGATTGCCTACAATTTAATTTCAGCTCCTGTGTCATGGCTAAAGGCAGGGATAACATTGACTAACCATACTGCAATAAATAAGGCACCTACCAAGTTTTGGTTATACCTCTATAGTATGTTTATTGAAGTCAAACTAAGTGGGAATGTATTTTAGAGTTTATCACACCCATTGTTTATATTGATTTGTCCTTTGTTGATTCAGAAACAAGTTAGCCCAATATTGACATGTTTTACCCAAACCATACCAATCCACATACTGGGTGCTATGTTTAGTCAGCTGCTCAGGTCAAATTAAGATTATGGGAAGTACGTTTTCCTTGCATTCTGTGAATCAGACAACAGCATATTTGGCCTATTGAATGGCTCCTTAGTGACTGGAGTCATCCCCTAGCAAATAAACAACTGTTAAAGACAGTGAAAAACATTAAAGTAAGGGAAGCTTGGTAATCATTAGAGAGGTTGACATGCTCTGTCATGCCAGAAATTACATGAGAGAGGTTTGTTTTTACAGGAAAACATTAAAGTAAGGGAAGCTTGGTAATCATTAGAGAGGTTGACATGCTCTGTCATGCCAGAAATTACATGAGAGAGGTTTGTTTTTACAGGGGTGCAAACTGTTAAGCCATAGCTTCACTAGACTAAGTTTACTTTCTAGAATGATTGTAGTGATAATTTAGTTTGCATTGATTATTTTTTATCCCAAGAGTATCTTTTCCTTGTTGCTATACTTTTATCTTCTCATTCTCCTGTTCATAGGAATAGTGATGCTAATGAAGCTTTTCCAATAATCTTTTCAGTAAGTAATGAGGTGCCAGACCAGCCAGTGGTATCCCCACTTTCGGGTGCTGTCTTTGAGCGCCGGCTTCTGGAGAAGTACATTGCAGAAAATGGAACAGACCCCATCAATAACAAGGAACTCAGAGTTGAACAGCTTATTGATTTAAAAGGTATGTTGTGCAGTAGATAATTTTGGCTTTTGATTGATGAAGTAAGTTTGCCTCATTATAAAAGAGGATTAATAAACTTTAATTATGAGTCTTATTGTAAGCAAATCTTTTTTTTTTTTTTTGCCTTTTGCAGTTCCAACAGTTGCAAAGCCCAAACCTCCAAGTGCAACTAGTATTCCTGCAATTCTCAAAGCCCTGCAGGATGAGTGGGATGCTGTTATGCTTCACTCCTTTACTCTGCGCCAACAGCTCCAGACTGCTCGCCAAGAACTCAGGTAGGAAGTTGAAGATTTTCATATTTTATATACAAGTCTGTTAAGATTCGGCATGAAACGGTTATCAGAAGCTTTACATTACCTTTCAGTATATTTGAGGGTAAATCTGGCAGTGACTTTCAAAAAATTATTTAATTCTCATGATTATGTCACCTAGGTTTTATCCAAGTCTACTTGAAACTTGTTGTGATTTTCAATGGAAGGCCTGCAATTTTTAGTCCAACTGAGTAGTAGGACATTGTCAAAGAAGAGGTGGTCTGGCAAAGGCCAAGAAACCATTCTCATATATATTCTGGCAATATTTACTTCATAGTTGAATTCTTAGGAAGTAAGTTAGTTAGATTATATATATATTGCAGTATATTTTTGTATTGTAGAAGGTATAGATGATCTTGTGTTTCCTATTATTATTATTTTATGCAAGACTGTGATTTTATAATCTAGAGGTTTTGATATATAAAACATGCAATCCTGAATATATATATATTTTTTTCCAGTCATGCCCTGTACCAGCATGATGCTGCTACTCGTGTCATTGCCCGTCTGAACAAGGAAGTAACAGCTGCTCGTGAGGCCTTGGCAACACTTAAACCACAGGCCGGAATTGCACCTGCTACACCAGCTGGACCAACTATTGTAAGTTGTATTAATTTGTGTACTTTTATTGTGTTTTTGTTATTGTTATTATTATTTGATTTCTCAGTATAATAAATTCAGTATCATATAAATAATTTTTGAGCAATCTAACTTTAAAATTTATTTTTAGGCTGCAACAGCAGAGGCAGGAGGTGCAGCAGATGTCCCAGGAGAGGGCGCAGGGTTGACCGAGGACGTTGTAGCACGCCTGCAGGACACAGCCACAGTTCTCACACAGGAGCGAAAGAGACGAGGCCGAACAATCCCAGAGGGCCTCACACCATCGGAACAGATCAGGAGCTTCAATACACTTGCATCACATCCTGTAAGTTCTCTTGACTTGCCTGTCTTATTTCAAAACTAATTTTATTCTGATATTTTTGGAGAATAGTTTTTCTTAGTGGTGAGTCATTTTATTGTAAAAGTAGAGAGAACAGCTTGGGTTTTGAAGAAGTTGGTCATCAAATTATCATAATTGATCAAGCTTTCTTTGATGGCAGTTGTTTATGTGTAAGCATAACCCAAATACTTAAAAGACATTGTTAAAAGTATCCTCTCATTCCCCATAGGGTTTACATAGTGCTTCAGTACCAGGTATCTTGGCCTTGGATGTGCATCAGAAGGACACCAGCAAAATTGTCACTGGTGGAAGTGACAAGAATGCAACAGTGTTTAACAAGGATACAGAGCAGGTAAGATACATTTCCAATAGAAATATAGAGATGTAAATTTGTGTGTACATGTGTCAGTGCATTCACACACTTTTATTCATATTATCTTCCTTTGGTTCATATAGTGGATCACAAAGATTGATATCATTGCTGCACTCCCCCAGATGAGTCTGATATGAATCCTCTGATTTCCAATCACTACCATTTGTCATTAAGGTGATGTGGACTTCCATATCAATTTCTTTGAAAAAATATGTTCATATTTTTAATGATAATCCATATCCTTTTCAGGTTGTTGCTATCCTAAAGGGCCATAGCAAGAAGGTATCCTGTGTGGTTTATCATCCCACAGAGGATACTGTTATCACAGCTTCTCCAGATACACAGGTGTGTTGCTGTTTATGATGAATTTCAAGTATAACTTTTAAAGTACTGTAATTTGTTTGTGGACCATTTTCATTTAATAATATATATTTCTTTGCATTGGGTAGTAGCCCATGTAATCCAGTGCTTATCTATTAGGCAGAAATGAGGCATGATAAATACTTGATCATGCCAAATGTCCATTTTCTAGATCCGTGTTTGGAATGTGGGAACTGCTCAAACGCTGCAACTGATCCGAGCTCACGATGGACCCGTTACTGGCTTGTCTCTTCATGCTACAGGAGATTACCTTCTGTCAGCTTCCCGTGACCACAACTGGGCCTTCTCAGACATCAGGACAGGACGAGTGCTTTGTAAAGTGAGTTGAAATGAAGGTAGACTGTGGTGTAGTCCTTCTCTGCTCTAATAGTTGGTCTCTCTTGTTTAAATTAGAAATTTCAAGTGTAACCCATATTATTAGTTTACCTATATAATGACACTGCTCAGGCTCTAATAATAGTTGTGGAAATATGCAGATGTGATTGTGACATTTCAGCTCAGAATTCTGAATTCAAACATATTATCTGCAAATTTTAAGGAGTAGTTTTGTTATTTTTCAAGTAAGATTAACATTGTCATTTTCCAAACCTAGGTAAGCGACACATCTGCTAGCTCCCCTCTGACAGCTGCCCAGTTCCACCCTGATGGTCTCATTCTTGGAACGGGAACTCAAGATGCCACTATCAAGATCTGGGACTTAAAAGAACGCTCTAATGTGGCTAACTTCCCAGGTAAGATTTAATTTGTTTCTTTTGTTCTCTTCTGTGTATGGATTCTTAGAGAATTCTTACTCCTTACAAAGTCATCGTAAAATATCTTTTGTTTGTGATAGAACGGTTTCTTCTGTCTCCATTCATCCAAGTTACAATATTGAGAAGACAGTCATAGCTTTTTCCTGTGTCTTGTCTGCAAGATTAGGAAATTCACCTTCAATCATATTGAACAGAATATGTACCTTGGGATAAGGAACACATACATAGATTCCTAAAAAATACAACATATGTAACTCTTTTATTTATTTCTGTTTCCGTCTTTCCAGGTCACAGTGGCGCTATTAGTTCTATTGCCTTCAGTGAGAATGGTTATTACTTGGCAACTTCAGCAGAGGACTCTACTGTGAGACTCTGGGATTTGCGTAAGCTCAAGAACTTCAAGACAATACAGCTTGATGAGGGTTATGAAGTAATGGACCTATGCTTTGATCAGTCGGGAACATACTTAGCTGTTGCAGGAACTGATGTTAGGTGAGTAATAATCTGTTATTAATCTGATATGAAGGAAATTAGAATTTTTTTTTATGTTCAGCTGTGTGCAATATACACTTTTGAGTCTATACTTGTAGCTATATTTCTGTACTGACAGGTTTCATTATTAGATCCACTTCTTTATTTCTACGTAAGTCTTCCAGTGATGGTTAAAATGGTAATTTTTTTTTTCTCTTACAGAGTATACCTGTGTAAGCAATGGACAGACTTGCGAGTCTTCAACGATCACACTGCCATGGCCACTGGTATTCGCTTCGGCTCAAATGCTAGTTATCTTGCATCTACATCAATGGACAGAACCCTGAAGATTTACGGGCCGTGAAATGTGTATATATTTTTAGGAATTTTTTCATTTGAAATTTGTAGAGTAGCAGCAAGATTAGTCTATTTAAATTTTTATGAATTGTTGCAGTTTTAGGAAACTGGCAGGTATTTGTGACTATGTTGCGCTGTATGTTAAAGGTCAGTAATGCATTATATAAATGGAAGCTTGCTAAGAATGCCTGGCGTGGACACCGTGGACAGTGTTAGAGAGAAACAGAGCTGCAGTGTAATCATATCATACATTAGAGGGCCAGTTTTACTTCATTGTAGTATTGTTTATGGCTCTGATTGAATTTGTTATATCTTTTTTTTTTTTTTTCTAAATCAAACTCCTTTTGGTATTATTCATTATTTATATTTGGTGTAATACCTTTTTATTATCAGTGATTATCCTGTCAAATGTATGGTATTCTGTTCATAGGAAGTGTTGTAGGAAGTATAGTACCTGTCTGGAAATGATGGTATGTCTTCCCTAGACAAAGAATGGAGAAACTATTTTTTTTTATGATGCTTTTTGATAAGTCAGGCCATTGTTCTCATATTTTTTTCATTTTCTCAAAAATGTGCCCTTTCTTTATTACCAGTAATAGCATTGATTCTCAGCTTTTGGTTGTCAGGCACAGGGTAAACCATACCTTTTGCCAACACCTTCAAGACTGAGATGCCAACAATTAAGTTAATTTGGCCATATATAATGGTCTTTCAAGCAAACCATTCAAGTTTTGTTTCTTTAATTATGTGTTTTAATGTTTATGATGCTTATATAAAGTAGTGCATAACTAAAACTGTTTCCAAAATGCTTCAGAATGAAAATACAAGAATAAGAAAAATGCTTGTAATATCACATAAAACTGTGATTATATATATATGTATTTTTTTTTCTTTTTTTTATTGGTTAGAAGTCAACATGGATCTGCTTCTTTATGATAATGCCAAGCAATATGGTGTACAAGTTGTTTTCCAAATTGCTATTCCCTTATGCAAAAGTAATTGTAATAATGTTGTGTTTAGTTTATCGTGGTGGCTGTTTATTTTTTTCTGTTTTTTTGGTATTTTCTTTAATGATACATCATACTATTTTGTGTGTATATACTTTACAACTGTTAAAAGAGAGTGATTTGTATCTATGTCCAGGCAGTATCAAGTGGCTCACAACAGCAAGTTTTCAGTGTACTAGTTGTGTCAATTTTTATTGTTTATTCTGAATGAATGTGATTCAGGGATAATATTTTTCTTTGCATTCTTTTCTCCCATCATGCATTCACATTTTTTCCTTTTGTTAATAAATTGTGTATGATTCTATCTTGTTCGAAATTCATTCCCAGTTAGTACATCTTATGGTGATAAACCTTTTGCCATGCAGCCAGTTATACCGAAGTACAATAGATTTTTTAGCCTGTCTCGTTTATGTAATTTTCACATACACAAAATTGTAATAAATGTTATGAAAGAATAGATGCTTAAGACTCAAAGTCATTTTGGCCTCTTAATTATTAAGTAAAATTGTTGAAGAGAGCAGAAAGTGATTAATAATATAAGTTTAATTCCATGGAGAAGGATATACTCATTAGAGCTGTCTTTGTCTTTAATCTTTCTTTTTTTTTTTACTATTTGTTTAGATGTGTAACTTTAGAAATTATAAAATTATTTTTAAGATGTCAAGAAGGAAAAAGGAAAGGATTACATTAGGCTGGTACTTGGCAAGAAGAGATGGTATGGAAATGTGAGTAGAAATTTGAGATACTTGCAACTGGGACAAGTTTTCTGCAGCCAGTTTGTCTTCTGTCTTTAATTTGATGTAAGATGAATGAGTAAGACGTGAGAGCCTCTTAAGTGTAATGTATGGTAATAAAAATTATTAGTAAATATTGATGGAATTTTTTATTATCCAGATTTGCTTTGGGTTATGTACTGTATATGTAGTGATAGAAATGTAAGGAGAGACAGGAAGGAAACAGTGAAGATATAGAAAAAATGTGAATATTAAGCATTACCAGATGAGCCTCCTTCCATAGTAAGACCATTTACCTAATATAAATCTAATGTAGATACAGGTAACGGTTGTGCAGTTCATGGGGATTAAGAGGTGTGGATAAGTTTAAGAATTGAACAGAAATAGTTGTGTGTATAAAAAGTAATAGGGGATAGGCAGCATATATATTGTTAACCCAATGCCGACAGGCATGATGTGTACGCATATGCTATGCCCATTGTGAGTCAACTTGTTTGATTGTTTTTACACATAGATGGCTACACTTGTACTAAGTCACCAATGAGCCAATTACGAGTACTGCCTGTCTTGCCCGTTTCTTTGATTTACGAAAATATTTTACATTCTCTTGTTTTGCTGTTACTAATGTTTATAACAGTAATTATAATATTTATAATAAAAATAATACCATCGATATTCATAGCATTAGTAAAATGTACATTTTTTCTGCCAATTCGGGTAAGGTCACAAGGTCTACTAATTGACTCATTTGTGGCTAAGCACTAGCAGAGACATTTCACAAAAATATAGAAAATGAGCACATTTTCCCCAGCGGCATTGGGTTAATAATTTAAAATGAGAGAATGCACCATCAGATAAGGCCATTAGTACATAACATGGGGGAGGTACTTAAGAAAGACAAAATTTACAGTGTAAGTCAGTGGCTGGGATGACTTGATGAAGTTTCAGAAGGGAGGCAAATAAAAGTAATGAACTTAAGGAGAGGATGATGTAAAGATTAAAACTACACAATTCAGAAAGATACTGATTACTTTTGACACAATTTTATAGAATGCCTTTAGCACTGAAACATTTCTAATGGAAATAATATGTAACTGATTTGCTTAGTAGCAAGAAATAAGTCTAAAGGTAAATATGTGGCATGTATTTAATTACGACTGTATTACCAGTTAATTCATGTGCTTATAACACACTTCTCACAACAGATAAACCACAGTGTTTTTGATCATCCTATTAATCCCATGAACAAGCTTTTACTGGATAAATGTCTCATACAATATCTAACTCTACTGATTTCCCAAGGCATTCTTTATCCTAATTTCTAGCATCTAAACCTATCTTTATTTAGTGTGAAATTGTATAACTCAAAGTAAGTACTTGAAATGCATTTAATTTATACTGAATTTCTTCTGCCCTGAATGTCTCAAATGATGCGTAAGGTAATGTAAATAAAACATCATTGATCTGATAAGTTTTTTTCTTTAAATATGACCAGCACAACTTCACTTACATATAGTCTATACAAAGTTCTGTCTATACATTCACTCATTTACATGGGAAAGGCTTGTGGTTTGATAAATAATGGCACAATGGTTATGTAAGTACACCTGGTGCCACCCAAAAATATCAAATAAATTATGTTGACATGAAAACAGTATTTTTTTTTTTTTTTTTTTTTTTGGATAAGATGAAAAAATATGTCCTTGCCTTTCATATATCATGTCTAACCTTCTTTACAGCACTGCTATATCTCACACAAGTTCCTTAGCTTTCAAACTTCTAAAAAAATTACATCTTGTGTTACCTATGCAGCAGCAGTGATAAATTTGTCTATTTTTTTTTCCTTTCCTACAGAAACACAGCAACATGATATGAGCATAAAGGTAAGTGATATATCATACTCCATAAAATCCCCTACTAATAAAAGTTAGAAATCCAGAGAAAATATAATTCAGCTAATATACATAGTTTATAATCTCATCTAATCTCAGTGTTTTTTTTTCTGTTTGTTGACAGATAGTCTCATACAATTTATACACCTGATTTTACAATTATCTTGCAACTTTCACCATTTTTTTGCTTAAATCTCTCCCTTTCAAGAAGCTGCCTCTTACCTTTTCCTAACTATGACTACATAATTTCTCATGCAAGTGTAATTACCTTTTTCTGACATTTTCGCATAAATAGATTAACATTTTAGTCCACTTCCTTGCTTTGGTAAGATATGTTGAAGCATATTCTAAATCCCCCTTTTTTCTTTTTCTGATGTGTTCTTTCCACTCTCTAGTTTGGATTTATATTTTCTTTCTTCATCAGTAATATAAAATTCAATACCTTTCCTCAGAGCACATAAGTCTGAACTGGAAGCTATAAATAACTCAAGAAAATTTTACATATCCCTTATATAAATCTGTATCCGATATAAAAAAACAACAACAAAAAACCAATTGAACCTTTTTTTTTTAACACTGTCATAATTAAAGCTCAATAAAAAAAGAGATTTTGAACTTGCCAAGTGTTCCTTATCAGATAAAGTAAAATCCATAATGGATGACTTATTTTAGATATTACCACATTTGACAAGAAAGGCTTGACAGCATCATGTTTTCATTCCCTTTCAAATGCGACATTTTCCTTTTATGTGTGTAAATCTTACAGCATTTGTATTTTTGATAATCTTTTGTGTGTTCCTTTTTACTGGTTGCTGTTAATTAGGATTTAGTTTCAGTAAAACTTCCACTGGCATATATTAATCCTTAGTAAAATTCCACAATACAGATATACTGGGAAAGATAGAATAGCAGTTAAAATAAATAACAGTTTCTTTCTTACCACTGTATTTTCTCTATGCAGTTGCCTGAAACACTAATATGCAGATGATTTACGAGGCTATACCTTCAAACTCCTTAACATCATTTCAAAAATATTAAAAAATGTATATCCGATGATCTACATGAATCTTTACGGATTAGATTTTAAAGATAAATCTATTAACAAAAAAAAGGAGAAACTTTCCAGACCAAAACTAAAGTAACTGACTGACCCTGAAAGCAAGCATATGATACATGAAGAATAGAACCAAGTGGCCCGGCTCCTTCCAGTCGTATGCCTAACAAAAATAGGCCATCTTTCTTGTGACATTTTCCAAAATTTTACTAGCCTGTAGTTGTTTATGCCAGCTAAATATTCACATAAATTTTCTGCTAATAAATGATGTACTCTGTATGAATGACAGGTACTGAATGTTAGGCAGAAAGAATATATATTGTACTATTACAAGAAGGGTATTGTTAAATGAAAACAGGTGCATACTTTGGGAAATAAGTCTCCCTATAAAAATAAGACACATTAAATTCATGATAAATAAGTAAATAAATAGATAAATAAATGAATAACAAAAATATTGATCAATACCACTTGCATTGCATAGGTTTGCCATTCCTCTTAACAAAGGCATAAGAAAGCTAACACAGAACTGCCAAAAAAGGAAAAGAACAAAGTAAATGAATGCCATGAGACAGATAATGAGATTAGATACATGCTGTTGCTTTTACACTGAAGAAAAAGACGAGGAGGATAAGGATGAGGATGGGGAGGCGGAGGAGGAGGAGGAGGAGGAGAAGGAAGAGGAGGAGGAGGAGGAGGAGGAGGAGGAGGAGGAGGAGGAGGAGGAAGAAGAGGAGGAGGAGGAGGAAGAAGAGGAGGAGGAGAAGGAAGAGGAGGAGGAGAAGGAAGAAGAGGAGAAGAAGAAGAAAGAGGAGGAAGAAGAAGAGGTGGAAGAGGAGGAGGAGGAGGAGAAGGGGAAGGAGGAGGAGGAGGAGGAGGAGGAGGAAGAAGAGGAGGCAAAGGAGGAGGAGTAGGAGGAGGAGACACAGGAAGAGAAGGCAAAAGGAGATGAAGAGACAAAGGCGTAGGAGAAGAAGAAGGAGAATAATTAATAATAATAATAATAATAAAATAATGATAACAACAATAATAATAATACCATCAAATAAAAATAACAGTAGTAACAACAATAATAAAAATAATAATAAAAAATAATAACAACAACAATACCAACAAAAGTTATGATAATGATAATGGTACTGATGATAACAACAATAATGATGATGATGATGATGGTGATAATAATAATAATAATAATAATAATAATAATAATAATAATAATAATAATAATAATAATAATAATAGTAATAATAATAATAATAATAATAAAAATAATAACTGTAATATAATAGGAATAACAATAGTAATATGTATATGTGTATATGTGTATATATATGTGTGTGTGTGTGTGTGTGTGTTTTTATGTGTATATATGCATATGTATATATATACACATGTATGTATATGTATATATATATATATGAATATGTGCACATTATACATATATATATATATATATATATATATATATATATATATATATATATATATACATATATACATATATTTATTTATATATATATATATATAAACACAGAAGCCAAAGTATGCTCTTTAATCAATCTCTTTATACTATAACTCATAAAAAATGCAATAAAAAATAAAAAAATAATAATTTGTAAATTCTCAAAGCACTGTGAACACCATGATGTCATTCAAGAAATTTTCTCAATACAAACATATATTTCATATTCTAAATATGCTATCTGGAAACACTGTTAATATAGCAAATATTTAAAAAATATAGATGCAAAGTTCATTACAGAGTAAATTCTTGAAAATGCTGACTATAACTTCAGCTGTATAGGTACTCATGCTAAGTCTTATTTTTTCTATTAACACCAGTACAGGTGAGTTCGAGTTCATCTACTGGCACGGGATTCCTGCACTGTCCACTCTATTTTTTTTTCCATATATGAAAGGCTATATGAACATTAACTCACCAAGCAGTCAATTCCCTGGCCTACTTGATACAGCTGTTTACCCCATTCCTGGAATCTTCGAGAGAGAAAAAAAAAATCTCTTCTATTACTGCTGCTGTTGTTGCTGTTAATGATATTGCAAGTATCACTACCCTTATTGTCATTTAAACCAAAGTGGACAGTGCATGTATCCATGAACTCCTTGCATCATCAGTTAAGTGAATAAAACAGTCTATACAGTTTAACCCAATGATGCTAGGATGGCAAAAATA